AAAAAAAAAAAAAAAAATGGCACCATTGTACTCGTAAAACCCAAATAATATACGACTACAACTTTAATAATGCACTTTGAACTTTGCATCCTGATTTCAAAGTGTATAAAGTTTAATAACTAAGTTGGAAGGTTTTGCTTAGAAAAGAATACTTCTTCGTTACTCCTTTACATCGAGCGTCTTTATTGTACTTCGATATATACTGAATACGTTGAACATTCGTTTTTCACGCTCTGGGGAATTTTCCAACCACCCTGTTTCGCCCTGAGCGATTTTTTTTATAAAGGGGGTTGCAATTTTTTTATACAAAAAAATTGATTGTACATCATCGGATAAGATAACAAGTACGCATTTTTTAAATTTATAGATGACCCCCGGGTTACTTTTGTCAAAATACAATCACGAAGACTCTACACTTTTAAATTATCCGGAAATTTTAATCGAGCAACTGGCTCGAACGAAATCCATCCCGAAATTCGATTTACTTTGCAGGTTCTCTCTTTCTTCTTTTTTTTCCTTAATGATGAGAACGAAGACCCTTTAGTAAGGGGCACTCAGTCATGTGCACCGCATTAGATAGACTCTCGCGTGTGCTCGTCGGCGCGCTCGAGATCTCTGAGAAAAATTCGCGAGCCGAGCTGCCGCTCAGAGCGGAAACTTGAAAATACCGGGTGTTTATACTCGCGCGCGCGCGCTCACCTTAATGAAATTAGTTTGATGTCGTGTGTGTATGTGTGCAATTGTGTCGACGAGCTGCTGCTGCTGCTGCTACTACTACGTTGCCGCTGTGCTTCGAGGAGCATAAAAGTAGATAGGTACATATTATAAACACGTGCAGTTGTATGCGTGCGCATATATGTACAAATGCTGCATTCGTTCCCACATCTTACGTGCACGCTTCGTGATTACGGAAAGGAGCAGCAGCAGCGGCAGCAGCAGTTGCGATGCAGCAGAGAGCGAGAGTCGCGAGCGCTAAACTAAAGCGAGAACGTATGTACAACCAAGCTGGTAATGCGCGTATATATATTCACATATGGTGCGAATTGTTTCATATAAAGTTAACCCCCTGGTATATAGCAGTGACTACGACTACTGCTCCCGTATGTATGGGTAATCGTGGCCACTTATACCATTCAGTAGGAGATCTAACTAGAGGTGTATATAGTGGTAGTGGTATCTACTTACACATACATGGTACGCTCGCGCGCGAGGCGCATTACGAATTTAGCGGCAATTTTCTCCGTGGAGCTCTCGTTATGCTCGTCGACGTATATACGCGCAGCGAGTTAACTCGTATAATGCCGTATAGTGCCATAGCTAGCTACTTCATAGCACTATACACATCCGAGTCGAGCTGTCTCTGCTATTCTCACCTATGAACTTTCGAGAGCGTCACGTTGGCCTTTTCTACGTGGGGCAGTCGCTCTACGTTAAATTGACTATACGAGTGTTGGAATTTAATTGTTTTCGGTTTCGGAAAAGGCTATCGTGTAATACAATATTTGACTCTGTACCTAACCATCGTGTGTGGAAACACAACGTATTACATTTGTATTTTATATATCAACAAGAGAAAAAACAAATGGCTTCGAGCAAATAACGTAATTCAATTCCGAGAATGGTACTGATGCGTTTTTTACCGGTGTTCGAGCTGCGTCGTCGTAGTCGCTGTTATTCTTTTTTTTGTCCTCTCGCGCTCGAGCCCTCCCCAAGCAAAGCCAAGAAAGTAATCCATATCCTTCAAGTGGCAGGATCGAAATAGACGAGCAAAAGTATAACGTCGTATCCGAGCGTACGTACGTACGAGTCGCACACGTGTGCTCGTCGCCTCGAGCTTGTTTTCTCAGCTGCCGCTGGTAGTTGTAGTACTGTACCATCCACGAGGAGGCAAAATAGGAAATTCGATGTATGGGCATGTACGCGCCTAGCTTTCCGTCGCAATTCTTTTCAAGCTGTAAGCTTTGCCCTCCTTGTGGATTTCCCCGTCGCGCTGCAAGAGCGTCAATATCCCTGCCGCCGAATGCTACTTTTCGATTTGTGTTCTTTGATTAGGATTTACAAAATTTAAAAAAAAATCAGCTTTTCCACTCGATAGTGGCAAACTTTTGTGAATAATTTTACTCTTGCAGTAAATGATTCACCTTGCTGGTTGCTTACGTCTCGATCGTCGAAATCAAATTTTCGCTAGCTCAATTTTTACATCGAGAAAACGAAATCGTCGTGTTACACCCTTGTCGAGCGTGTGATGAGTTAATAGTAAATCTTTCAAACTATCGGTTCACGCTCTTCGAGCACAGTAAGATCCTTCAAAAATCAGACGAAAATCACGTGTGCACATCTAATATAATACACGGCTACGTCTTTTTTTTCATTCGCCTATCCATAATCATTCGATCTCTCGGTTTGTGCACGCTGTGCTGCATCCATCCCTCACGCACACTCAATTTCTTAAAACTACGCGCGAGGACGAGTGTATGTCGAGCGTTCATATATTTTATTATATATTATATATCTCTCTGCCCCAGCAGCCTGCATAGCAGTCGTCGTCGTCGCCGTCGTCCTGGCGCGTCGTCACCGATCCTGATCCTTTTAGACCACGCTCGGCTAGCCGCAAAGAAATAATTTCTCTTCTCGCGCTTCACGCATTATTATGGCTCTTTACACAATAAAATCTCAATCCATCGCCTCGGCTGTAGCAGCAGCAGCTACATAGCCATGGCTTCCATTACTTGAGCGTGATTTCCGAAATGTGTTTACATTCATACATAGAAGGCAGAGAGGAGGGAGGCTTTGACACGCTTTGTATTACCTGCGCGTATGTACTACACAGGCCATAAAAACTGACGCTCGCGCGGCTCCTCACCTTGTGGTATTACGCGCACTTTCATGTATGCAGGCCGGTATATATAGAGAAGCTTTATTTAATTTGTTGTTGTAGCTGCGCATCGTCGTCGTCTCCTTCTTTATATAATGCGCGAGGTGTATCTGCTTCGATCTGCGCCTCGTTTCAAGCATTCATTATATTTTCGTTGGGCTTTATGTAGGCAGAGAGATGTGTTTACTTAAGGACTTTTGGGCATGCTTAGTGCGCGCGGATGAAGATTGCTGCGCAGCGCGCATATAATACGAGCCGCGCGCGCGCGTGGACGTGTTTTCATTTGGCCGCTATAACGCGCGTACACGCATCTCTCGCTCTCTTTCGCTGTCTCTCTCTCATTATTTCGTCAAAGAGCGAGGATGATACGCGCATGTAGTGTTCTTCTTTGATAAAAAGTTGACGTCGAGATCGTTACGAGATGAGACGGACAGAGAAAAGAGTTGACGTGAAAGAGAACTGCTATTGTTGTCTCGCCTTTTGACGAAAGAAAGAGTGCACTTGGTCGCTTTTTGTTTAAGTAAAATTGAGTTCGTTGAATCGACGATTCATCGATTCTTTACGAGCGATCAATTTGTACGTATGTAATACCCACCTATACATCGCGCAGATCTCGCGCGGTGGTTGAAAAATTTTTATGAAACACAATGAAGGCTTCATTGAGCTGATGAAAGCTGTTGGTAATTCGATCTTTGATTCATCATTAATGCGAAACGCGCTTTCTGTAAGAAACCCTTTTTCTTTTCACAAAAAAAGGGTTCGCGCAAACCTAATGAGTTGAATTGGAAGATTCAATTACGAAACCAGCATCACACGTCTTTAATAGGATATTTAATATGATATGAAAGGAAATCACCAATCTTTATTGAATTACTTTTTTTTCAAAAGTCAATAACATCATTGTTGAAAAAAGGTACAAAGTTGCGTTTGAGTATAGTTTGTAAATACGTGATTCTACGCGAAATCACTCTATTTTCAATTTTAAAGGGAAAATACACGAGCTTAAATCGAGCGATATAGACTTGGAAAAGCATATAGAGTGCGACGTTAGAAACGGAAATGGCGCAACGCCTCGGTACGATGTTTGCATTACGCGCAAGCGAGCGCGAGTAGTAAAATGTAAGCCCTCTCGACGCGCTTTGCAGATAATCAGGTGCTTTTCATTAAACAGGCCATTCGTAGTACTATATATACTCTTAATACTCGGCATGGCGCTAAAAGGTCGTGACGATGTTCTTTTGCCTCTCTCGCGCAGTGTCTCTTTGCATCTCTCCCTCTCTCTTTGCGTCTTTTTCTTACCCTCACACATACACACACACACACATCCTCTCAAGTCGAATGTTCGCGAAAGAAGCTTAGTCCTCCTCGTTTCAATTGTATGCTAAGAAAGCTGATAAGGAATTCAACGTGTTGGAAAGGCTCGTCTTATTTTATACAAACACACTCACATAGAGAATAGAAAGCGCAAGAGAGCAACTACGACGAAGGGCTTTCGCGCTCGACTGACTGAGCGTATATACAGCTAGCTACGTGTGCAGGGAAGATCGCAATCACAAGAATAAGATATTTGCTATGCTTGATTTGCCATTGTTTGACCTCTGCAGATCTTAGATTTGTACGTGGTGGAACGGGGGAGGGCTCGCGTTCAAACGTCCAATATAGTAACTTCTTGCTCGGAGTTGTAAGTTGAAAAATGAGATTATTCGCGCTCGATTGAATGTGTAAAACACAGAAAGTTTCGAATGCGAGCTTACCGGTGTCACGTCCCGATTATATCGCGATATAGACGCAAAAACGCCTATGCGATCGGGACCCTTTATACTCAAAATATCTAGTGAATTGAGACCCTACAGAATGAATGATAACCAAAATACATCTCTGACGTCATATGCAAGTTCGACAACCGATTAAATCATGTGAGATAGCAAAAGCCTTCAAAAAAAGCTTATATGATTCCGCAACACGTATGGGAAATAAAATATCAATAAATTCTTTTAATAATATATAATGACTTCATGTTGCTCTGTTTACATAGATCTGCCTGAGCGATTTGTAAATATTATTATTAAATTCAAGCTAGTTTGATGTTTAATATTATCCCAGAAAGATCAGTCGTTCACAAAATTTCAAAAGGAAAACATGGAATCTAGCGATATATTTAACTGTGCTGTCAGGTAAATTTGGTTTTACGAGAATAAAAGTAGGAAATTATCATAGCACAATAATTAAACTTATTCGGAAATATTATAGAGTGAAGAAAGAGCCTTATGACGAACCCTTTAAAAATGATTACCATACAATTTACGAGGTGCCTGATGTTAAAAATCTTCGATTCTCCAGAGAATATTCAGTAAGAATTGATTATTATATTCAATTCACATAGAAAATATTTTTTGCAAAATATTTTACATACCTTAATATTTTATAACAGACGCTTCAAGAATGCAAGAAAAATCATGAAAATGAACTTGACGAAATAAAAATTGAATTAGAATTTCAAGACGTGAAGCCCATCTGGAATTTATCAATTGTTAAGAAAACTAATGATTTCTCTCAAAATCATTTGCAGCATATGAAGTACAGTGACGATTTTAAATCTCAACACATAATTAAAATGAAAACTGAAGGTGAAATGAAAAAAGAAATCCATTTGAATGACGATCATGAACTTGGCGAAAAAAATAAAAAGAGAAGGGATACAAAAAAGTCTAACTCTATCAATAGTCTTAAAACTCATATCGATACAGTGCATAGTGGAACCCCCCACGCATGCAATATATGTAAAAAGAAATTTAAAAGTAAAAGTTATCTCAGGACCCACATCGATTCTATGCATAATGGTATCAAACATACATGTGATAGATGTGAAAAGTCTTTTTCACGAAAATTTGTTCTCCAAAGGCATATCGAATCGTTTCATAATGGTATCACTTACGCATGCGATATGTGCAGAAATAAATTTACAACAAAAAGTAGTCTTAAGATCCACGTGGATTCGTTGCATAATGGTAAGAAACATTCATGTGATAAATGCGGAATGAAATTCACACAAAAGACTAATCTCAAAACCCACATCAACGCGATGCATAATGGTATCACCCACGCATGCAGTACATGTGAGAAGACATTCACACAGAAGAAGCATCTCAAAAACCACATAGATGTGGCACATATCGGTGTTAAATATAAATGCGGAACATGTGGAAAGAAATTTTTACGAAACGATAGGCTAAAAATTCATATCGATGCGATTCATAATGGTGTCACTTATGAATGTGATATATGTGAAAAAAAATATCAACATCGATCTGATCTCAAGAAACATGTCGAATCGTCTCATAATGGTGTCACTCATGAATGTGAAACTTGCGGAAAGACTTTCAGACATAAAAAAAGTCTCAAAGCTCACATTTATACGGCGCATCGCTAACGCATCATTACTTAATCAAAATTTATAAAATGTATGTCCTAATGTGCCAAAAATCGCGATTTATGATCTAACGTAGTGGTAAAAAAAACTGATCTAAATTAATTTGCTGCAATATTTTGAATTCTTATATTATATTATCTTAATTTTTTGTACAAGGGTGTTCGCTAAAATAGCGGGTGAGGTGTTCGACACGTCCACGTGACAATACGTAGAAACAACGTCCAAATTCGAAAAAATGAAAACATTTTGTAAAAAAACCATACTGCTTATTTTGTATTGATCTAAATATAAAATAAAAATGTGTGCTTTTTGTGTTATATACATAAGAATTGTGAATGTACATTGATTTAGCGCGCTTCGTAATTTGCGTTGATCTATAAACTCCAGCCTCATTAGCTTGCTTTATCATATATTATGCTTGCGAGTACTCCACAATTCTATGACTAATCATAACTCGAATAAAACAGCTTCGCATAATTTTTTTCAACACACACAAGAAGAGAATAACCATGATCCACAATATATACAAACTATTTGAATCAGCCCGCTCAAAGGCTGTCACGTTATTATAAATTTAAATGCAAGAAGATAAAATTTTAAATAAACAATTATTCATTCGGGCATTCTAAATTATATTTTGTACACCCATTTTTATACCCATCGCTCTCACCAGTAAATCGTGACATAACGATGTCCGTGAGGTTAGAATTTGTTCAATTCATCGGTAAAAGTTGTCATAAAGGCGTGAGCAGCTTCACGAGATGGAAAAACTGGTCCCATACTCTCGAGATAAAGATCGTAATTATCTAAAACGACGCTCGAAAAGTCTTCGTACGATATTTCGCCGTCACGGTCAACATCAAGAGCTTTCAGTAATAAGTCTATCATATCCTGCAAAGAGTTGAACATTGTTCGCTGTTCGCGTAGTTTGTTAATAAAAATGAATTAATGATTTACCCTGACAGTTTCGTCGGCATCGTCTTCAGGGGGTAACTTTATCATGCATCCTCGAAGCATTGGAAACATTTGCTCTTTAGTGATTTTATTCGATCTCATCAAATCATAAATCTGTTTAAAACATCATTGTTTACATTAATGATTGTATTGCTAAATAATGATTTAATTTGAAAAATATACTTTGTAAGCAAATTTAGTTTTATCTGGCAGTGGAGCACGAAAAATTGTTGAAAGACCCGAAACCCAATGTTCAATTGGAAGCTGAAGAGTACCAAGTCCGGTATGTAAGTTGATGAAATTTTCACAAAATATTGTTATTTGTTATGATTCACCTTTAGTTTGTTTGTTTTATTGAAATGTCCGTAGATCCGATCTATCAAAAGATGACGTAAATTTTCGGTAAAATCGAGTCCTCCATGAAAAACATCTCGGAACACTTGTCGTGTTAATGGACCTCGGGTGCTTGAAATATTTTTGTGTAAAACAGCCAGCTCTATAACAAGTAAAATATTTAGTTTTCGTAAAATGAGGAAAATTTTTTAATACTTACGCGTTACTTCTCTTTCATTAAAGAGGGTTTCTTTAGCTAATTTTGCTATTAAATCAGAATTTTTTCGTCTAAAAACTGTTTCTGCTGAAGAATTATTTCTCAAGTCTACTGGCACTTCTTTCGGCATATTGTTTCAAGGACGCGACTTTATTTTCAATTTAACTTGATAATTTTACATGAACCGAAATTTTCAATCGACTTAGAATTTTGGTTATGTTATTGTTATGTGTCACCACAATTCGATCGTTTGCGTACGGGGTCGAGTATAAAAAAAATTAAATATACAGGGACATTTTTCATTTTACTTGGGAATAAAAATTATGGTGATTATAGGTCAAATCAAGTTTTAGTCAAATAATTTTTTTAAATTTTATTTGATAATTTTCTTTGAAGAAATACTTCAATCGGGATGTTTTAAATTCACTTCGTCGGCTCTCACTGAATCGTATAAAACCGTCAAAAAGTAGGTGCACTTCTCTTGACTCAAAAGTGAAGTTTCGAGCAACATTTTAACGCGGAGAAATATTTTTATCTGATGAAAAACGAAGAGGCAAATTTATATTCAACGTTTTGAGTTTGCAAAAATAGAAAATTGACTTTTCAACGGCTGGGCAAGCAGCCAAGTACCATCTCTCTCTCCCTCCTCTGCCTTTGCGAAAGACGTCATCTCTCTGGGGCTTATTAGAGTGAAATAAGGACTCGTTGTTCTTGCGTTGCGAACGCAGATGGAAATCGCCTCATGCGCGAGCTCCTCGCGTACTTTTTCATGCTTGCCTGGGTTTCTTCTTCGACTTTCACGCTATATTAACCCTACTAACGGAGTTTGAAAATGCAAAACAACTGTCTAAATTATAGCCTAGACTTAAGCTTTCGAGAACTATATATTTCATTCTCAAAAAAATGTACTATACATTTGCAATATCCTCAAAGTTCCTCTCAACATTGATCAAATACGAGGAAATAATAACTCATTCGCCCTTTAACAGCGCTTCCCATGATTGTTTTTAAAGAGCTCGAAGTTTTTACTTATCAGTTTGCAAAATTGATGCATATAAGCAGTAGTACACTTCTCGTTTCTCTGAAGGATTTTCGATTTTCTCTCTCTCTGCCCCGTACATTGTCTGTAATCAGCGCTTCATCTGTACTTTTTAGTTTTACTTTAAAAACTTTTCAGCCTTTCTCCGAATTATAAGTCTGCGCAGCATCTCTCGAGCCCTGCGCAAGTAACTCTCGTTGGTTCCCTCTCCGGTACACCACGTACTATATACATATATAGATAATCTTTGGCTAATCTAACGCAATAAATGTTTCGAGGTGATGATTTGCGGCCTGTCGTGCATGAGTAAGCAAACTTGTTGGCTCGTTTTCTTGGAGATGAAAAAAAGAAGAAGAGAAAAGAAAAAGGAGTAAGAAACGGTTTTCGCCTTTAAACTTTAGATTGAATTTTGCGGGGCGTCGGAGTAAAGCACCTTGACGTTCTGTCCGCCCACCTGATGCGGGAGCTCTTCGCTGCGCGCGTGCAATGTGTACACACGAGTCGAGCGTATAGCGTTGCGCTGCGCTGCATCCTCCCTTAAACACACGCACCGACTGACGAATATGAAAACAGTACGTCTCTGCCTGGTGTATCCGTTCCATCGCTCCGAGGCTTTCTCTAAGCGTACGCTACGCCACGCTGCAAAGTTTTAGGCCGTGAAGCTTTTATAGCGCTTTCTCCATTGATATGTTTGCTCAAGTTTGTCCGAGAAATATCAATTTAGCTTCGAGCAAATAACGCCTGGGTGTATGCTGCTGCTGCAGCCCCGTACATATGTTTACAATCTGCAACCGAGCTACTCCATAAATGGATTATTATCCGCCGTGGCATCGATGGCAATGATTTATAATTTTAATCTAATCGAGATCTAATAAGGCAGCTGTGTGGCTCTCGAGATGTATATAAATACAAATCATAAAATCAGTGCATCTATCAACCGCGAGCTATATTATATACCGATCAAAAATCAAGAATCAATTTGAGAGTCGCTGCTGCTGCATGCTGAAAAACTGCAGGCGCTCTCTCGTGAACACACACACGCGTGACGACGACGACGACGAGCATACACGCACTCACGGGCAGATATAAAATAATAAAAGCACGGCATGAACATGCTTATATGCGCGAGTGAGCGCGCGCCCCCGCACGCACGTGTCCTCATTAATAAAGAGCTGTCCCGTCATAAATCTCGACGCATTATCGCACTCGAGTTATCGTATTTATTCAACGGGTGATTATTTTCGATTATCTCATTCGCATCCAGGCGGCTCGCGAGCCACGCGGATGCTGTTGTGGGTGTGCGTGCGCGTGTCAGCGAGTAAAATATTTATTCATCTCCTGCAACACGCAGATTTAAGATTAGCGTGCCCGCATTTTTTTCATCAGCGTGCCGGAATGATCGAATTTTTTAAAAATGGACAATGTGGTCACCCGAAAAGAATAACCGAACTATTTTTTACTTTAACGAATATGGTGTTATTGAAAAAAGATATATCGCAAAGCAGTGGACTGCAAGCTGCTCGGTGATCGAAAACCTTAATGTGCGAATGAGCTACGAGAATGATTTTTATTTTGCAGATTATTTACGAGGTGCAACTTATGAATAACAACTAGACTGCAAACTGACGCGTTGCGCCATCACACAAATGCATCGTCGCAAACGAAATGGCACACATATAGCAGCAGCAACGAGGCAGATCATCGCCCGCAAATCACGAGCAGGTTACGGCGCGCAGCAGCGAGGAAGAAAGGATTGAGCTACTCATTACTGGCATTGGCCACAGAGAGCATCTGAAGCCCCGAAGGGATACATCCTCCCTTAGAGGTCCCCATAATCGAATTTTGAGAGTTATAGATGGTGCGTGGGTATATTGTGTAGGTATTGGCAGTGCGCAGAGGGCCGAGAGGCACAATCGTAAAAATGGCACTCCTCCGACTCCTCCTTTGGCTTATGAGTGTAGAGAAAATACACGGCATTAATCATTGAGACAACGGGGCTTCGAGCGACCGTCGAGCTACCCGACGACGAGCATATTGTGCAGTAACCCGCGCGCGTACGTTTCGTTCGTACTTGCAACGGTTCTTTTTATGATTGTGCCGGTGTTTAGTGAAATTTTCTATCGCAAAACATATTTTTAATCAAATATAATCTGTTAAAAATAAATTACGTACTGGAAAATCTTGTCTCAAAATAAAGCAAGAAAATCGATCCTCGCACTTTCAGCCCAAGCAACTGTTGAAAGTTCACGCTAGCATATATCTCAAGAAAAAAAAAATGTTACTTTTGAAGTGGCAACGAGAGCACAATAGCTTTCAAAAAAACAGTAGTATATCCTATGCAACAAAACGTATAGATCTTGGCGCTGCCCGCGCGCATGGAATCTAGTTGGGTAACACCGCTATGTAGCTCTTACGCGTACTATACAGATGTTTTCGTAAGCATTACATATATCTGTATTCGCATCGAACTAAGTGAAGCGTAAATGTACCCATAATATCGCCGCACCGCCAAATAAATGCGTCGCCTCTATGCTGCGTTCTCTTCACGAAGACTGGCTTTATTTCTCTGTTTTGCGCCCATACTGTTGTGATGAACACCTTTTTTTGTTGTTATATATAGACCTCATGCCGGGCGCGCGACATGCGATGATACTTTGTTGTGTACATTGCGTGGGTGGCTTAGCGCGCGGTTGGCGTGTTTTACCATGCAACACTGTATAAGTTATATGTTATATGAAAGGCGCACATATGCTGTATCAATCACTTTTGCGCGCGATGCGGTAAGCGGCGGTGGCGGCGATGGCAGTATAGCGATGCTCCTTCGGTGGAATTTTTCAATGAAATATGTAGAAACACCTCGAAAGTTGCGCACTGCTTTTTCGCTCCCCCATTCATTGTTGTAAAAGTCTTGACTATGGATGCAGTCATTCGAAGATTTCTTTGTACGGATTAAGACAAATGTAATTTGAACCTGATTTTTTAATAAAATCCTTAAATCCTCAAAAAGCTTATTATGATGTAAAGCTCTATATGTTACTGTTTGCACGTTGTCAAGATGCATCAAAGAATTACGGTTGTTTAACACGATTCTTGGAATTATTACTGAACTTTGTGTGCGTCGAAAAATACGCTCGGTCGAAATTGAAATTTCATCTGCATAAACTACATAATTAAATGTGCATAAAAGCGTAGCGCATTATCACTATTCACGGGCAAAACAGCGGCAATAATTTATGTATAAATAATAATATGAAATCACACGCATGTAATTCCACGAATAGTCGAAAATTCACGTCACGGCTACTTTATCGTCATAATTTAAAGCCAAGCCAGCCATTTGAATACGCGCTACGAGCGCGTGTATATGCGAGTTTAAGTCGTCTATCACTTCGGTTTCGAGCGCTTATAACTGCGATTTGTGATAATGCATAAAAGCGCGCAGAGAAAGAGCCAGGCTGTAAAGTGCCACATTATAAGCCAATAAGATAAGACATTCCTCTCGGCGCTTTATCCTTACTTTACACAAATGACGATGGAAGAAACATGGAAAAAATGAACTCGCACGCAAAGAAAAATCAGCGCCTCCTCGAGATAAATCGTCTCGACACAACGAAAAATTCTCCAATATGCTGTTGCAATTTATTCTCGCATCACTAAATCAATGATATAAATTTTCATAGTTTGTAAATATGTGTTTTAATACAATTCACAAAAAGAGCTAGCTTGCTCTACATGAAAGAAATAAAAAGAAATGTATTAAAACAGTGTATTAATGGTCATGTATTTTAAAATGGTCTGCCGTCTGGTATTAAATGGTCAGTTTTCGGAGATTAGGTCATTATGAATGTTGAATATTTTTACCATGAAAGCGTTTTTACTTTGTTTTTAGTTTATTGAAACAAAAAACTTCCAACATAAAAATATAACCATTGCTCATAATAAAATAGGCAAACTTGTTAATTACATATATTTCAAGTTTTTGCAATGAGTAGATTGACAATTAGAGGCAGGTGCAGTCAATACCAAGCTGAAAAAGTCTTGGGAAAGTATTATAACACACTCTAGTGTATGCATCAAAAGAAGATTTTGATGATACAATTCTACAAAGAAAAAGTACACATTCCTAATTTTTAAGCCACGCTCATGGTATAATAATGTTCAGGCTTGCGTTTTGTGCACAAAGCCACTCTATTTCCTTGACGTTCGCGCGTGTTTACAATCTCGCGTCAGTGAGGGCTAATCCTATTAGGAGACGCTCGACTGAACAAGCTCGAGAGAGAGAGAGAGAGACGTCCTGCGGCGTATTATGTGCGTATAATAATTTGAAACTTTGCACACACGCACTAAATAACATGGATCTAATCGTGTATGACTCGTGAAAGATGCAAGTGAGCATACAGAAAACTGAGCCAACTTTATGGAAAATCAATTTTAAGCAATTTTGAATAAAAGTTATCAAATTCAATTAATAAACTTAAATAAATTAGATTCTACTTTCTAAAATATTTACAATTCAAATAAATTCCAAGTTATATAGCGAGCGAAAATATGCATTCAAAATAAAACCGAGCTCAAAGTGAATTAGTCGAATGGACGACAAGAGAGGAAAAAAATTTTTAATAAATGCATGCCACAGGCTTGAGTTATAGTTCCGGTCAAAAATCAAACGCTTTCCACAAATCCATGCTTAGTCGACACAATAAAGGTCAACCGAAATTTGACCTTTCTTCATAATGCTACTTTATATATCAAAGACATCAATCCAGTGCTTTTTGCGTCAGGAAACTTTTTGCTCGAATTTCTTGAATAAATCATTCTTATTGTTATATGCCTGGGCATGCGTGATTCAGGAAATTTGTTCTTTTTTCATCAGGTATTTTTGTATTCTTGTAGTAACATATATATCTAGCGGATTGACGCCTACAATGTTATTCCGACGACAAATAAGAATCGATAATCCTTTCACGTACTAAATTACATCGTACAAAAGGTTTTTTTGCATTATAAATTTACAGGATTTCGGGCGCTGCAACAGCAGCAGGAGCAGCGAAGACGCATAATATACGGTAGAATTTACTTATGAACAAGATTTAGGGATTTGTTGTTCAGCTGCTAAAGAAAAATATAAGCGTAATCTGTGTGTTGAGGAGTCGAGACTTTTTGCGTGCCCGCATATATATACGAAGATAGTAATAATCTTATACGCACGTACGTGTAGCTATATTGAGATTCGGTCTTTTAGCTCGATACACAGCTCTGAAACGTTAAACCGGTGCTGCAAAGACTTGCAAAGAGGATTTCTTCCCAAAAACGTTGCCATATGTACATAACGTACGCTGCTGCGTCGTATAATATCATGTGTATATACATTCGCTTATATACTTGCTGTATGTGACGAAGTATTATGATACCAAGTATTATTCTTAGTAGAAATGCTAAAACATTTCATAACTAACTTCTGGCCAATGAAAGAGTTTCTAATTTTTTTATTTGAAATATAGAAACTTAACCACTACACAATAAACCCTAAACACTGTTTTGAACACTTTGCTTTGATTTGATTTATATGCTTATTTTTATTTTGACTCTTGCAGGTTTACATAAATAACGGCACTCGCCATCTAGTGGCTTAAAGTAGTATCATTGTATTTAAAGTGGTTGAAAATTGGTCTGAATTTTTGATTATAATCAAATTGTTATTCTCAGAGTTTATTTGTTTTACAGAAAAGCTACTGTGCAACAAAAAACTGAAAGATCTGAGAATCCTCAAACAACACGTACTTAAAAATCACTGACCTATGAAAAGTCTAATGTATCACTATTTAAATAATAAAAAAAAATATATTGCAGCTTTTGCGCAGCTGAATTTTTTAGAAAAAAATAGAACGGAAAAAACGAATGCATGTAGATAATCAAATCTTAAAGCAAAATCTAAAATTTCTTCACGGTATGAAGTTCAGAGCACACATTTCTTCTTGTTTAAACACGTTATAACAAATGAGCTTATAATTAGCAGTGTCCGTTGCAGCTCAAAATTTAATACTTTGGTAATGAAAAATTTTACCTGGAGCCATCTATCACTCAACTGCAATCGCCAGTCTCACATTACAACGAGATCAAGCAGGTATGAATAAACAAAATTTTGATCACACCGAAGCGGTCTCGATGATGGAAAGTGCGGCATCGCCAGCACGAACGAGGTTCAAATCGTATACGACTCTCCTCTTTCAACGCTCGCGCAATATATATGATCTCTTTTTCCCCGACACATACTGCATTATACTCTCTTTTCTCGCACCGAAGCCAATAATACATATCGTAAACACGATCGCTGACAAGAAGCTGCTGTTTAACACTACAACATTAATAAACGCCCTATATTGCATATAAAAAAGGCGTAAAATGGGCACTACACACGCCTTTCGTATCAGATAATCGATTACTTATCATAAAAAAGCAGGAGTAAGTTTGTGGAAAAAATATACTTAAAATGTAAAAAGAGAGGTGCTAAGCAAATGTCCTGATAAGTATCTTTAATTTGAGCTCTCTTACATTGCACGCATTGCACGCGTGTATGCACATTAATCCTGACTCTTGTAATTGGTCTTGACGAGAATAACTTGTTAAACAGTATGGTAACGTCTGTTACAACACCCATAATAATCAGCAAGTGTCATAGCTACAAGAAAATATATTATTTTTATTGTAGGGTTTACGAAGTTACTTTCACAAGTCAATGCAAATTTCAAGCAGAAAATATTTCACTTGCAGTTTTTTATTTTATTTTTTATTTAAATTTTGTCAACGATTATTCAAAAATACTACGAAATTATCTTTGTTCCGTAAAATATTATAAAACTTGTCCAATAACACTTTTCAATAAAGCTTTGTATGTATGTCTACAGCTTTGATATAATAAAGATTTTTAATCAAAGCTTCATTATCGATAAAATAATAATAATAAGAATATGATACAACTTCATATAATGTACGTAGCTTTACCATTTCCATTATTATCTCACCATATAGAGTAAATATTATTATACAGGCTAAATCAACATGCATGATTGATGGCATTAAACATTTACTATTTAAAATAATTTTCAATTTAACACCTCACCATTACTGTGTTAGCCCTTTCACGAGTAACATAATTTTGCCGTGAAACGATACAAAAATCAATAACACAATTTAATTGGCTAAAGGTTTGAAAATAGTAAATCTGACATCATTAATGTGGCTCCAACCTAAAGAGGTGAAACAGTTTTGAGACCGAATGTTGGTTTTAGATGTAAACAATACAATATCTATGTCCTGCTGTGCTATCAACTTGGCTAGAGCATTAGTAACAATTTTAGCAAATCCTCGTCTGCTAAATTCATTCAGTGTTTGTACATTGCCTAAACCTCCATACTCAGTTTGCAGAGCCCAAGATACTAATCGATTATCTTCTTTGCGGAATAAACCAATTCCTTTATTAAGATGAATCATTTTGGAAATGAACATTGCAGATTTTTCAGGATTCTTTTTTACTTCTTCCCGAGGCCATAGTTCATGAATCAAGTGTACATTTTCTTCTTTTAAAATTCTCAGTTCAAACCCGGGAGGAATGCTGGAGAAGTACAAGAGGTATGATGTAATAAAAAGACGCCATTAGAATTACTACATTTAGTAATAGACAATTTGATCAATTACCTTACATCCACCGAAAGACAATCTTCTTTTGATTTATAATAATATTTGCAGTATCCGTGTGCAAAAATTTCCAAATTTATTGCTGTTCTGAGATAATTGGATACATCATCAACGGTGCTCAAAAAATTGTCTTGAACTGCCTGGAAAAAGACTTCTCGCTTCCAGTCGATGAATTCTGTATTTATAAGGCAGTCGAATAATAATTTTTTATTTTCAGGAAATGCGAATGCAAGCACATAATATATTGCGTACTAAAATGAATGAAAATCTAAGTTAAATATCAAAGAATGAATTAAAAGTTTTTATTTTTTCTTTAACTCACAGCTGATATACCAACAAACACTCCGGTATCATACTTTTTCTCCGGGCAGTATATTGCAATATTGATTTCTGGGGTTTTTTCCTTCCATCTAATGGCATTATCGATCCAATAATAATACTTGAATGAAAAATATAAACATTGAAAAATTAGGATAATAATTAAAAAAAAGAAATTCCAATGTTCATACTTACATACGCATAATTTGGCCAATCTCTTTTTAGAGTATCTTTCAATAAAATCCATTGTTCGACTGGTGACGGTTGTAAAATATCTAAAACAAGTATTCTTCAAATACATATAGTTGAATGAACGATTATATAATTTTTATGAACTTGAAAAAAGATCTTCTACTCGGCTCGCAGTTTCATAATCATTTACAAAGTTCTTGACTTGCGTACATCTCAGTTTAACAGCTGCCGCTACTTTGGTGCATAATTTTACACGCAGGTAAGATCATTATAAATTGAAATTAAAATTTGTACATCTTACATTTTGATACTACTTATTATAAGTACCGACGTAAATAACGCGATTTAACCGATACGTCTGTACTTGACGCAGCTCAACAGTTATTTACCATGAATAATTTATTGTTGACGCGCTTCGCAATGCCCATTTGGAACGACTCTTGAACTCAAGACTCATATAACATGCGTAATATACGGACAAGCTGTCAATTAAACTTTAAACTTGATTCGCTACGAATGAATCAAGCCAAGCCAAAAGGCTTATAATTTTTTTGCGGCAAAACAACGACACGATCAACCACGTGCGCGCAAGAAAGCGAGAGCGCGCAGGGTAGCGTAGAAATGAAATGAAGGAAAAAAAATCATTGGCAATTGGCCACATGCAGAAAAATGTATGTATATATAAAAGAGAGCCCTGAGCAGTATGTCAGAAGAGTAACGACGACGATCTTTGCCAAGATTAAAGGAAACCGCGAGTGAAAAGAGGAGGCTCCGCACAGCATATAATAAGCGTCGTCGCGAATCGAGCAATCAGTTATGCTTAACGATATGCGCATTCCCAGTCGAGTGTAATTTACGTGCCTTACAAGTGCTATATACGAATGAGAGTCGACGAGAGTCAGTGTGTGTGTGTGTGTGTGTACGCGCGCGATGACAGTCTCTTGTGCGAGCGGCGCGATTCAGCTGATTTACTCGCACTGCCGCAGCCAGCCAGCCACGCGCGCTGCTTCCCTCGCGCTCGCCGTACTCCACTCCATACTTTGATTTCGTGCCGCACAAATCGATTCTCAACGAAGCGCTTGCAGAGCTGTATTAACGACTCCGCAACGTCGCGGAGTCGTTCGCAAAACTTGCGAAATCTGCCATCGTCTTATATGCTTTTATACACGCGGTGCGCGCGAGCCCGGCATTCCTTCACTGTGTTTACAGTGTTAAATATCCAATGATTTTGTTTGCGGCTAAGAGTAATGTCGAGGAATGAAAATTCGAAACTTGCTGCTTTAATCACAAAGCACATTGCAAAGCTTTGTAATATTTATTATTGGCGTCTGCAACGTTCAACTTTCATCAATTTAAAAGAGAAGTTGCGCTGTATGCTGTGTGCCGAGTGCACCAGCACGAACCTATCAATCCTCGATGAATCAAAGAAAAATCAGTCGATGCTCGTAACAAGTGGTAAGCGGAATTTTTATTTTTCGTCTTTTTTTGTTCCTTCTCGGATCTCGCGCTCGCTTTTTAATTTCCCTTCTGTATTCTTTTTGTCGAATCGGCGTGTGCTCGCAGGCGCATAAACCGCGTCGCTGCTACCACGTATAGGACTTGTGCGCGCAGTTCGCGGAGTAGGGAGTCGAGAGAAGTAGTGGTGTATGTTATTTGCCGTGCGCACGACCGAGAGAATGGGCGCATGGAAACTGGTTTTCTTTGCACGAGGCACGACCGACACAACGACGACGACGTCGCTATACGTTTATGTGTGTACGCGTGCAAAATGCGGCCACTATACTCGCTGCTGTACATCCTCGGCTGAGTGTGTGGTGTATGTGTGTGTACGCGCGTGGCAGTCGCGCGCGTGTGTCACGTGTGCGACGTCTCCTCTCCACCGGGAAACAGGAGTGGAGAAGAGGCGAAGGTATTAAACTACATGCCTCACTTAATGCGTTTGTGTGTGCCCGTGTACATGCGACTACGTGTACACTCCATGTATTTATATAGATTGCCTACCTATACTACTGGCGTACTACTAGTTACTATACTACTCCTCAATTTTCTGCGCATACAAATGTATGAGGTATGCGAGCTTGAGTACGTCTCCGACAACTACGCGCGCAGTATTCCGGAGAATGTAATCGTTATAAAAGCTTGAAATTTTTTTTTACTGTTGAAAATTTATGTAAGGATGTAGCTATGTCAACAATGTTTATATGGATGTATTTACAACAAAATTGCATTTAACCAGAAGTATTTCTTTTACATTTTTGAAAGTTTATTTCACACTGTTATACTTGACCGAGCAGACAATCGCATATACCCGTAAATTATGATAAAAAAAAGTAACAATAAAATTATTTTTACTGAACACGAAATTATTGGATAAGGTATAAAAATAAAAAGGTTGAAACTAGCCGTTACTTTTACAGCTTACAATAATGCGAGGTATATTATAAACGCGGATAATATAAATCTTTGCAGCTGCAGTTTTGAGAATGGTAAAAGCATTCTATATCACCTCTGTTAAAGCAATTGTGATGTTTTTAACGCACATAAAAGTTTTCTTTTTTTTTCGTTTTTAATGTATACCGTATAAGACACGTATGTACTGCCACTGTTATAATATCTCTCAAACACGCGTTTCATTTCACCGATTCTAATTTCGATATGATTTTATTTTTTCAAATAATAACAATAACAACAATAAGAGCGTCCCTCGCAATGTCCAAGTCCGTGTGTGTCTGTACGCGCAGTGCATGCTTGATACCCCTAATAATAGCTGGTCCAGCGGTGTAACGAAATAATGTACATCTCGTGCAAATACTGCGTATGTGATATGAATATTCATGAGAGCTGGTCTGGGCTGCGCGGGAACATTACAGCAACTCGCGTGTAAGCATATTTAAATCTGCGTTCAAGACCTCTTTCGTAAAATTTTTAAACGTTCAGCACGCGATTTCAGATCTCTTTTTGTTCATTTTTACCGAGTCTTTGTCGATGAAATGAGAAAATAAAGTTTGTAACATACAGTGAGTATTGAAGCGAATCACTATTGCAAAAATAAAGTTCGAATGCGGGGGTCTTGAAATTAATTTCCTCTTTTATCAGATTAATAATATAGATTATTGGCAAGCATGTTAACTCTTTTACTTCGTATAGTAACTTGAAAAATACAATGATATATCTTACTTTGAAATGCGTAATCATGCTTACTTTATTCTTTTCAATATTTTTCGGAGTGTTATACAAATTGGCAGTAATGAATAGCTACGTACGCTTGCGTAAATATTGAAATTACAAATAAATTAAAATAAGCTACCGAAGTGCACGATATTTATAGCTATATCTGGTTCAAACTTGAATAAAACTTAAAAGTTTCAAACTTAAAAAAAAACTCATTTCAACGCAAACAGTCAAGGCAACATATATGTCAAAGTCAAACCATTTTTAAGTTTTTTTTTCAAAACTCACAATACATTTTTATTTTCATATTAACACATAGTATACCATTATCATTCGAAAAAATAATTCCGTAGAAATTTAGTTTAATCCGGTAAGTTTTTGCGCATGCTATCAAACAGCGATATAATTGCTCATAATCACGATATCTATCCATAATTTTCGTTTTTTATTCTGACGAAGCATTTGAGGTCGTTGTGCTTACGACACTAAATTTGTCTCTGCGAGGGTTCTGCGAGCTAATCAATTTTCATTTTATTTTATCAAACATCCCGTGACTTTGCATTTCTTTTCAGGCTACTTTGTGCAATACAAGAGAGTTTCGAATATTTTTTCAAGCGTCCCCATACAAATATAATTTACACCATACATAAAAATATTAATTTTTCGAAAATATTATTTAGCTTGAACGGAAATTAAAATTTTGCCCTGCAGTAGCATTAACGAATTTTAGCGCTTGAGTTGTGACAATTATATCCGCGCGCAGCCTTTAATTTGAATTTTCAAGCATCTCGCGAAGGGGCGTAAAATACATTTTGATGGCATTATATACCAGGCAATACGAAGCCGAGTTGTCTTTTTTTCTCACAGAATCCGAAATGAATTTCGAAGCTCAGCTCTGTTTTTTAATCCTTCTTTTTTTATGTACAGGATACAGAAGGCACGTTCAGCAGCCGAATATAAAAATTTAAAACTCATTCGATATCCGAGAGGCGATCTTTTGCTCTCTCTCGCTCTCTCTCTCACTCTGGGCAAAAAGTATCAAGTGTGAAAAAAAGCCGCGATAAATCCCGAAGAATTCTCACCTGGCACACGATTAACAGCCATCACCGATCGATGATGATGATGATGATCCGCACACGCGCTCAGGGGGGGAGGAGGAGGATTTAACATCCCGTATAACGTGCCTCGCCACACGATCCTACCTATATTTCGAATCGTATACCGAACAGCCTCCGGGCTTTCCAGCACTTTTAACCACACTTGTACGCAAAGTTTTGCGCTCTCTTCGTCGGAATATGTATATAAAAAAAAAAGTTATATGCGCATGCGAGATGGCGCACCGACTGCTCTGCGCGCGACGACGACAACGCTGCTGCTGCTCAACGATCTTGCCCCCGCTGCTGCTGGTTATTGCTCGGGGCTATCTAATCTACATATATCGGTTTACTAAACAAATCTTACTGGCGGCTTTTTCGAAAGCTATATCTGTCGACGGAGGTGTATAGGTATAAGCAACGTGCCATTAAAACACGGGCGCACACGTGCTCGTATAAGAATTGCACACACACGTATAAGATCGCGTCGTGCGCGTCTCATCGATTAGGTGTTGATTTTCAAGATCGAGATCTCTGCTGGGCATGTATAGGCTTGGCCTTGCCAACTACCAGCTTCCCACTTGATAACGAGGTGTGAACGCAATGCTACATTACAAAAATAAGATCTGCAGGTGTGCTGCTGCTGCTCCAGTGTCAGAGAGTCTCGAGTATATCTTTTAAATATAGACCTGTCTTTTTATTTATTTATACATAGACAGAAAAAACGGTAGGCGTATATGTGTGAAAGAAGCCGATAGTTTGTCTTTTAATACGTACTTGCAAACCGACGGATTTCATTTCGCATTGAGTATATAGCGCGCGTGAATATACATG